CCCCACTCCCACATGACTATATTTATGTACGTCCGTCACACTCCCACATGACTATATGTATGTACGTCCGTCACACTGCCACATGACTATATGTATGTACGTCCGTCACACTGCCACATGACTATATGTATGTACGTCCGTCACACTCCCACATGACTATATGTATGTACGTCCGTCACACTCCCACATGACTATATGTATGTACGTCCGTCAAACTCCCACATGACTATTTGTATGTACGTCGGTCACACTCACTGGTCACTATATGTATGTACATCCGTCACACTGCCACATGACTATATGTATGTACGTCCGTCACCGTGTGTGCTTACGTCCGTCACACCCCTGTACGGACAAACACACACACACACAAACACTTTGTACTTTTTCGTATGATCATAGACTTATAGTCAATGGAATAAAAGGATTATGTACCATTCGTCCTACCTAATGTTCCGTAGCTCGCTGATATAGCAAAGAATAAATCGTCATTTTTCGTCGAACTACATTTGTACAATTGTCCATCTCCAGTGATCACGTCCATTTCTACAACGGTGTCTGACACTTGACCATATTTAAAACTTGAATTCTCTAGAGCACCACCTTGGATCGCTCCACCAATTGTCATACTTGGAAATTCGACGACTACCAATGGCACCACATTATATTTGAGACAAACAACAACAAGATCTTGAAATATGACACCAGGCTGAACACTTATTTGCATTTGTTCGAGATTAATTGACAAAATTTTATTTAACAGTTGAATATTAACTGGTTTATAAACAGTAGAATTTTGTTTATTTGTTGAATTACGGATGGTGTTACTGTCATAAATTCGTTTATGCAAACTTAATCGTTGATCGGGTGCTCTCAAACGAATTTGTTTTTGAATTTTGGAGACATGCTGTTCATGGTCGCCTAGATTCATAAAATAGGGGATAGTGTTTGATAAAGCATTCTCTCGCGTATACTGAATAGGTTTGATAATGGCATTAGTCGTAGTGTTCGCACGGTACCAGAAAAATGTGATGAGAACTATTACCACTAAGATAAAAATCCACATTGTGTGACCAATGTCAATAAAAATATTATGCGTAAAGTATATCAATAAAAAGAAAAACAGAATCCTGATGTATAGTCAGTCATACACGTGAAAGGTAAGAAAAAACACAGAACAGAAAAAATTAGAACATATGAATATGACGTGAATAATAATGTTGTATTTTTAACGATGAAAAGAGTGTGTGCTTATGTGTAAGTGTAAATCTAAGGTTATATATTTTTAATGTAATTCACGTTTTTATCTTCTATTACAAGCGTAAATTCACTTACTGACTATGAGATAAGATATGAGTGCATTGTGCGACAGTAGCCAACATCAGATTTAGACAAAAAAATTAGTTTTCACGTGAGTGGCACATAGTAGGCACCAGCATCTATATCTTTTGTTAATCGAATTTCTCATTAGTTTTAGAGTCAAATATCTGGATTGCAATGTCATGTGAAACAGGAAAATTAAAGTGTTGAACTTAATATAAGCACAGGAAGTCGAAGTAAAAAGTCAGTTTTGCTAGCGCCTTACAGATTTGACTGAAACTACGCATATCGTGTTTGTCTATCTATTACTTTATTAATTTGCTTGAACGAGTTATAGTCCTTCCTTTATTTTTGAAATAATCTAGTGTAATGTCACACAAAATATTTGGTGTTGCTATTAAGTGTGTGAACATTAGAATGTATATGATTGTACTCTAAGTGTTGTGGAGAGGTGAGCAGGCATGCAAGTGAGCCACTCAGGCAATTTAAGCACCATCGACAACATAATTAAATGAAATAAAAAATGACTATTTAAAATAAATCGGCTTTCGGGCCCTACGTTAGCAAATAGTCATGATCCCTGGCTTATCCAAAAAAGCTCGCTTCCTCTCGTCTATCAATTACACGCGTTGAGAGAGGGGACATTTTCACGTTAAGTTGAGCGATTGTTGTTCACATACATGCAAGGATTCTTTTGAAATATATTAGAAAAACACGTTATTCCAAACTGTTTTGTGAAATATCTGCCTCAACAGTTTCTATTGAAACATCCCAGTACAATGGCATCCTTGAATGGCGGTAATGATGGCTTCCATTATTGTTCATATTAGTGTCTCTAGCTTTTTTTACACAGAAAGCAACCCACAATACGAAGCATTTTTATAAGCAAAAACACTTATTATATCGTTGATCTAGGCAAACCATTGATTATAGGAGTATTTGTCTAGAATAACACCAACCATACTCATCCACAGCGCGAAAAATGGCAAGGCAGAACCGAATTTAAAACAAAAGAGGTGACATACCACTACCGGCTTTGACCTTAGCCAAAGGGTCTTGTCAGGTAGGTTCTATGAAAAAAACGCATTTCTACTATACAGACTTATATGTTTACTAAATTATAAAACTATCCATTTCATTTACTATATATATACACATTTATGGCGAAAATCCGTTTCACTTCAACATCTAAATAGAGAAAAAGAATTCTTTTTTCCTCTTTCTGACTAAGTGACATGAGCGAACAAACAAACTGTACAGTCGGTCTTTAGCTAAATATATCAATTTAATGAAAGAGACTAACGGAGGTACAGCCTAGTTGGCAATATTCTCCAATGTTATTAGTCTCTTGAAATACACTATGAAAAGTTTTTTTACTATGTCTCGCTATTTAAACAGAATTTCACTGCATACTTAAGTTTGATAAACTGGGTCTATCAGAAGGATAGCCTTGAAACATCTTTACAAATACTTTGACATCTAACATTTTCTAATGCCTGCTTTGATACATGTGATATCACGCGAAAACAGCAGATACAGTTCATGTAAAAATAACTAAAGAGGGAAGGTCCCCAAGCTTTACTCTCACTTTTCAATGGGACATATCCTGATTTGTAGAGCTCGACGAGCTGATTATGATGACATAAAGCATTTTCCCCCAGGGCTCTTGAAGATCGATAATGATATATAGAAAAGCAAAAATCACTTTTCTTTCCTTTTTCGCTCTTTTGTTTGTATTGCACGCGAAATTTGATCGATAACCCTCTTAACAGCCCTCTATTAAATCCGATGAAATCTAGTACTTAATCGATCTTCTATCTATTGACGGATTTAGAAACATTTGCTTATTGACGAAATACTGATTTTAGAGGACCCTAAATAAAGTCACTTTAACATTGTTTGATTGATTTTGATTGTTTATCGTATTGCATCAACAGTCGGAGGCCTTCGGTCATAGTTTAGGTATGCGCCAAGAGACCCATCACACATCCGGAACTTGAGAGGTTTTCTGATCTTGTTTTTGGTAGTTTTTCACAGGTTTAAGGTAGAGGGTATATTGAGATTTAAACTAGTTGATTGATTAATTGGTTTTATTTTAGCGGCGGCAAATGGTAGTACACAGAGAACAAAGAAAAAAATGTTCTCTTTTTCTGCAAACATATAAACAACAGTAGACTAAAACCAAACCTTGTTGCTCCGAAATCAGAAAAAGTGATAATCACCTACTCTGTCACCTTACGTGAAAGGCTTTTCCTGTCTTCTAGTCTCTGTTCTCCGTTTGTTTCTTACGTTATTTCTCTAAGCTCTAACAGTAGTGTTAGTTTATGTCTGCTGACTTTATTGAGATAGCTCCTTTGCAAAGCGGGACTAGAAACACTGTAGATTTGACAAGAACTAGGGAGCTTAGTAGTTATATCTCAAAAAATTAATCGAAAACAAGCTGACCTTCATTAGTACTTGTCACATACTCGCAAGCACATAGTAAAATCAATAATTTCCATTTTAGTAACTTCATTCCCTATAAACCTATGGCAAACGATCAAGAACTGTTAGAAAGACCTGTTTAAACTCCGACTGGTATGAGTGATCGGTCTCATCATACACGCCAAAGTCTGGCAGAAGATTTCAAACCGCTTTTGCAACACGATAAATAATCTAAATCTAGCAGTCTAAAATTAACTGCGATTTTTATGAAGGGTTCTAGAAAGCCCATAGAAAAACAGTCTTTCGCTTGAGAGTAAACCTTCTACAGACCGCTACACTTGTTATGGATACTCTTCCCTGCGATTAAAGGAATTCGATTTTGAGTTTTACGTGTCTACCTGCAGAGGCCCTGGAAAATAATCGATTTTCTAATTTCAAAATTCATATTCTAATTTCGCTTTCATATTTTCGCTATAACTTTCAACGAAACATGACAGAAAGCATTCCAAAAACTAATCCCCGAGATACGCCGGCATGTGCCTTCTATCGCTAATAAAAATTTCAGAACGGTCTGACATGTACTTAAGCTAAGAAAAATTTCTATACAAGCTTCAAAACAGGATATATCCTTTAGTTTTCAAGTCCTTTCTAATGGTATACCTGAAATATTTTTCACTTTATTTAGAAAGTCGTTATTCAAATTCTGAAAATAAAAAGTCGGTTTAGAAACTAGGAAAACGGTTCTTCGAAAGCTTTTTCTAGAATGTAGGTCAAAAATTTCTCTGTATGATGTCTTTATGTGTGAAGTTATCTCACTATCAATTACTCCAGAAAAACTTTCTTCTCAGAAATAGGTCATAAGATTTTCTGAATCATCCGTAAAAAATGACATAGTTAAAAGCAGTTAAAAGCGATGAATTTCATCAAATTACTGATGGAGTTTTCTTGTACAACACGCCTACAGTATATCCGTGGACGCTCAAAACAAAGTTTATTCGCAGCGTCCTCTTACTCTACTGTATTTACATTACAGCGGTGTAAACGTACAACGAAGGAAATTAACATCTGTTGTAACTGTAGCATCTTGTTGTGTTATTTGATTTATAGTGGAAGACATTTGATTACGACTAACAAATGTCCTTCTTCTACTATAAATTAAATAACAGGTTATACTTCGATGTAACCAATTGATGTTGGATATGAAGAAGGAGAGTGAATTAATATTGGAAACGAAAATACGTAATTATATTTTTCTTCTTCTCTGTATATTAGAGAAGTTAGAACTGATGTAGCAGTATGAAACTCCTTCTCGTAGTGTAAGAGAAGAAGAAGATTTGAAGCTGAAGATAAAAGTTGAGAAGAATGTTTTGGAGAGATGTTCTCTCCAGAAGACGAAGAGAAAGAACTAACTTTTATAACGAAATTCATTACGAAGACAACTTGTTTTTGTTTTTTTGTATTTGTAAGAACACTTAATATTTTTCTGATTTAACTACGAAACGGAAAACGAAAAGCAAAGAACTTTCTTGATGAGAAGAAATAGAATGTAACGATATGTGACTGCCACAATCATCCCTATTTCCAGACGAGATTCGTCCTCTAGGCGCAAAAGATACCAAGTTCATCTTCTTTTAGACGCTCCGGAACCGGTAGAAAGTCAATCTCCGCACAAAAGCAGTTGATAGGTCGATTTTCACGAGGAGGAGGTGTGGCACTTTCCCGTTATCGTTACTGTAACAAGTAACGAAAATCCGTTACCACACTCTCTTCTATTACGGCCAGATTTTTCCAACAGAATTAATAATTGAGAGCGTTGATCTTTCCATCTTCTTTAGACTGTGCAATACAGGAATTGTCGAGAGTGTGGGAGCTCTGCCTATCCTCACTTGGTTGCTCCCTACTCAGTTTAAGTGATACGAGTAACTCAGATCTTCCGAATTAAGTTGAAACGGTTATTTACATTCGATCATTCATGAAGAAATAATTGCAAATGTACCAAGATATCTTATGCAATATAAAGATTTTCCAGTGAACAGAGGAAAAACACCAATGTTTATGTTACACGACAATTTTTTTAGCTATTTATTATCTTATGCTGCACATTTTAAATTATCAAAACACATACGTTTAAATCGATGGTATTAAGTGTTCGACTTGTCAGTGGATTTCAGAAAAATAATTTTTGTAAGTGTACACGATCATCTTGTGACCGCTGAATGCAAAAAGGATGTTATGCAAGAATTTTCGATTTCCTCTTATCTGTCCGGCTGCGTTCGTTTTCGTGTAACTGCAGCAAGCCAGGCAGACATACCAGTAAGAAGAAGTGTAAATTTGTACGGGAGAAGTGGTTGATCGTCAATAAAAGTTTATCCTCTCTTCCATTGCGCACTTGCCATCCAGAGATCAAGGTCCAAAACGGACTCTGAAGTGCGTCCCAAGATTTGTCAATATACTTCAAGCTGGAGAGTTCGGGTTTGTTTTATTTTAAACTAGACACCTAACTACATGGACTGACGGGCGCCGATTTTTCAGCTGAGCCTTTATTGGTTTTCCAGGAAACCAACAACCTCCAAAACTCAAAAAATCCTTCCGGATTTTCTAAAAATCTTCAGAGTTGACAAAAAACTAAGACCTAATTCAAAAATCGACGCTGGTTAGACCAAGCAGTTTCTTTTCCTCTTTTAAACAAAAAAAGAACGAACTCTATACGACAAACCGCTATCAAAAGTTCTGAGATGCACTTCAGGTGTAACTCTCATATAGAGAAAACGCTATATTGGTTATCATTTTCAGATTTTTCCTTTAATTTCGCTTTCTCATTTTCGTCTCTAGTATTCTTTCGTTCGTTTAGATGTATGCCGCGTCCTTTTATTTCAAATGTCGATGAACGTCAAATGATGCAGGCCACTAATGTTTCACATCAAGAAAGTTAGGTTCAACCGCAGCATCCAAGACTACCCAGGTCCAAGAAAACGGCACCGTTAACACAATTCTACAAGACACAACATCCTACAAGATCCTATAAAACACAGGATCTTACAGGATTCCTATCGTAGGATCCTATGGAATCCTATTATTTCCTATGATAGGATTATCCTCGGAGTCTGCCTGTAGAACTATGTGATATTTCCTATAGGATCCTATGGTAAGAATCCTACATGATCTTATCGTATGAATCCTATAAATTCTTACTATAGGATATCGTAGGATTTCATAGGAATGTTGTAGTATCAAAGTTATTAGTTTGTTTTCATGATGAATAATTTAGTGAATGTTTTTTGGATGCTGGACTTTGATTTTCTCTACTAAAGAAGTACTTTGGGTTCTTAATTATATTTTTTTGTTAGACAAGTATAATGTATGTGTACGTGTCGCCACAATACAGTTGTATAATCGAGAAAGCAAATTTGCATGCTTTTTTACATCTACACTTATATTCAAAAACAATGCAGTTTCTATCAAGCAGACGCTTGTGCTAACTGGAATTTAGTTTCCTTCAGTGGAAACACTAATTATACTAGTATATGTAGCCTTTAATCACCCCGCT